ACTCTGTCTCCATCCATAAACATGCAAAGAAGAAATTAGCCAATAACCAGCCTTATTATATGGCTAGCTCCATGGGCAGGCAAGATGAATCAAATTCTGCACTGTGATTGGCTACCTAAGTGGGCAAGATGGAGTTATCTTGCCCGCTCGGGGCTACCCGCTTGTCCCGCAAGAAAAATTTCCCTGAAAGCCACAAAATAAATCCTTTACTGACCAAGCTTGTTTGGTGAAGATGGCTGGATATTGGCCTCATTCTTTTTTTGTGAGTTTATGGACCTCAACTCCGTCTCGGTCCATAAACTCACAAAAAAGGAATGAGGCCAATATCCAGCCATCTTGACCTCACACTTGGTCAGTAACCCATATATCTTGACCTCACGCTTGGTCAATAACCCAAAGTATGGTCAAACCTCTCCTTACAGACACCTCCATAATACCAACACCATATCTACCACTGTAATACGGACACTCAGCTCTTGTCCTGAGGTGTCCACATTTTGGTGTCAAGTAGTTTTGATATATTACATGTACGGGATATGCTTTATACACATGCATACCTCGACAGTGGAGAGTGTCAGCAAGAGCTTGCCTTGTGTACAATTATTGATATTCAGTGCTAATTATTTCACAACAATTATTAATAACCATACCTGCTCTATGGTGCCAAATATTCAGTTGTTGTCCTGTTGTACCATTCATCTATTGTGTCTTTATCTGGTGCATTTCTCATCTCTCCTGTTCTGCTCTTCATCTGATCCAGTCTTGGTCTGTAGTTTTGTTTCAGTACGTTCAGCCAAGTTAATTCTCACTTGATGTATCCAGTACAATGCAAGTCTTTCTTGCTAAAGGTCAGTCCTGTTATTTCTCAAGGAGATGTTAACTTTTTCTTGTGTAATAGCCCCCAAGGAATATAGCACATTTACTAAAGCATTATCCCTCTTGTACATACATGTCTTCCGCTATCTTTGTTTTTCTCTTGGACCTAAGCTCACTCTCTCACAATGTTGTGTGCGTTCCCTGGAATCTACTGGAAACGAGATTTAAATCGCGTGATATCCTCCCAGGGCCACCTGTTAAGAGGGTCATACAGGGGAGGTCTCTGGCATGGTTCATGAACAGAAAAAATAGAGAATCACGGATATAAAAACTTTGTTTTCCTGAATCATGAAAATAAGCAAGAAAGATACTCTTTTTAATGACCTGTTCTTACACTAGAAGCAGTGCTTGAAGAAAGTAAAATCGCAAATGGTGAAGGCTCCATATTGCAAATCACATACCTAAGTCACTCTCGATAGATGACTCTAACCATTCAGAGGACTTGCATCTGAAAATCACATAGAATAGAGTGGTAAAATCACGAATATCGGTTAATAATTGAGGTTCTTCATGGGTCACGCAAAACCTTCAGGTCACGAGTCACGAAGAATAATTTCCTAAATTCACCTTTCACGGAAAATAAAATCAGCTAATCACACATCACGAGAATACCCCTGTACGACCCTTTGTTAAGATACTCCACAAGAATCTTTGGAATAAGACCTGTTTGGCAGTCTGGACTCAAGACAAACAAGCCTCTTTCCCCAAAATACTTACAATAATGTAAGGTGCTGTTACGCTGGTCAATTTTTTGTGAAGGAAAAGAAGTGGAGAGAAGAGTAGACCAGGAGGGTGGAGTAGTCTTGAGCAGTGTAGAGTAGAGCAGAGTATCATGGGGGACTACCTTATAAGAGCTATACAGGTATGTGTGGCCCCAAAGGGTATGGTTCTTTAGCTGTTTTGGTCAGAAATAGGACATCAATTTTGGGCATTTTGATCTCAGTTAGGGTATAGTTTTAGCGCTCTAGTCTTGAAATGGGGTGGGTATAAATGTTTTTTAGAAGAAACTATCAACAAAAGTCTTTTACAAAGCCTTTAACCATAGTTACTATGGTCTGAACTAAGGACCTAATTGTAAGGTAGTTCTGAAACGGGGTGCTGATTAACAGGTCAGGTCTTAACTAAGACATCAAATTTTTGGTCAGGTCATAAATAGGGTAGGGAAAACACAGATCCGTTTTGGTCTTAAATAAGTTAAAGGGGTTTGGGAACAAGGCTGCACACGCCCATTTTTTTCCTGGGAGTACCCTCCCCGGAGCTGAGTAGAGTAGAGTGGTGTAGAGTAGAGTGGAGTTGCGTGGTGTAGTATTGTGTGGAGTGGAGTAAAGCCAAGTAGAGTGGGTTAGAGTAAGGTTGAAGAGGGTCAAACAGTTAAAGTAAAGTGATATATATCTCATGTAACAAATTATCAAGTGGCCGACACTGAACAAGATGTACTAAGAGAGACTGGTGGCAGCTGGTTTTTTCTCTAAGGGTCACTTAGACAAGTGTTCAGACAACGTGAATGCAAAAGGGTGGTATGGACATGGGCAAGTAGGGAAGAAGGGCGGTACGGCTGAGTAGGTTAGTAGACGAGAAAAAAAGGTGAGTACCACCTCATAACCCCTGCTGAATTTTGAGAGAAAAACAGACTGCCAGCCATCTAATTCTTCTATTGTCTTGCATGTCAGTGACTAACTTCAAAAATGAATTATTAAAAGTTTACAAAAAAAGATAAAAACCAAGGAAGTATAGTAAGTATAATGACTCAAAAAGGTGAAAAATTGTAAAAAAATAAATAAATAAGAGAGAGGATGGCTAGGATTGGGGGACAAAGAGATTGATGTAACATTAATACTCTGATAATGTGATTAAGAGAAATTACATATTTATTACTCTACAGCAAAATTGGAAACAAAAGTAAGGTCCTCAGAAAACAGTGTTTTGGATCTTGTTTTAGGGTTCTCCTCTTCAAGGTTGTATTTCAGTCTCTCATTAAGGTGGCTCCATAGGGTTATCATTTAATATGGTGTTGTGTGCGCAAGTCTTGTGTCTTGAATGCTGTTTTTGCATTAGTTTTTGCACCCAGGTCTCTCAAACTTGTAATAAGCAATGATTAAATAGTGTTTTACTATCATCTCTGTTAAAATTTTAGGTTTTAGTCTTGAATTATAAATACCCAAACAAAAGTGATTTTTACGTTTTTTATGACTTCATTTGTGATTTTCTTGCATTTCCTACCGTGAAATCCTCCAAAATTTTCACAGCACATTGCATCCTGCAGGATACGAATCTCAAACACGAAAAAAGTAGGGTTTGTACAG